GCGGCCGCCTCTGACCTTCGCCGCGGGGTCGCGCTTTCGGGAAGTGGCCGCGCTCATCCGCGCGCCTGCACCCCGGACCTGAAAGCAACCCCAGTGAAAATGAGCTGCCTCCGCCTCGGGAAAGCCAGAGCGCTTCCGGCCGGGCCCGCGGGAGAAAGGCTTTGGCTTCTCCGTGGGTGGAGGCGCTGGGCCGGGTCAAGACCCGCCCGCTCGGGCTTGCGCGCTGGGGACCTCGCTCCGGCGACAGTGACCTAGAAGGGGTGCGCGCGGCCAGAAGGACTCCTGGCAGATCGGGAGGGCCAGCTGTCGCCTCCCCAGCTCTCGGAGGCCGAGGGGGCTGGGAAGGAAGTGGTTTCTTCGCGGGGGAAGAAGGGTGGGCCGTCTGGGTTCAGGGAATGCCTTTCGGCTGGAACTCCTCAGCAGAGCTCTCTGAGAGGGACACCGAGCAGCTGCCACTGTCCCCACTGGGCAAATGGGGCCAGCTGAGGATGGGGTGATGTCTACCACATACCCACCGCAGGAGCACGAGGATGGCAGCAGCTGTTAGGAGAAAGTGCTGCGAGATTTGCTCAAGACACACATTTCTCAGAAGTTCAGAAACTGCGCTGTGGACCCAGAGGCCCGCCGCCAGAAGGGGCCGAGCAGGGTGTGGCTTGGGGCCCATGCTCCACTTGCCGGCTCGCTGCCCTGGAGGGAGTGGGCACAGGTGGGCTCCCATCAGTGCTCACTGGGACTGGGGGCTCCAGACCTACGTCCTGACTGATGACCCTCGGTGACTCACCTTTGCCTTTGAGCCCCCTGGGTACCTCACAACAGAAGACTGGACCAAAAAAAAGGATTCTCAACCCCAGGCACACCAGTCCCCTGGTCAGCACTACAGTACTGACGGCTGGCTCTGATGTAACAGGTGTGGGTGGGGCCTGGGGATTTAATAGCCTTCCACAGGGTTAGATCTCGAGCCCCTTACTGTCGAATACTCTAGATTCCAGATTTGTTTCTGAGCCTCTTCCACCCCATCCTGAGCCTGAGGGAAGTGTGAGTGGGTGTGTATTGAGGACAGCTAAGTATAGACTCCATTTATATGAGAAAGATTAACAGAGGCCCAATTTTTGAAATAGCCTCACCTGACTTAATACCTAATCTTTATTGACTACTATCATGTGTTGGTCCCTCTTTCATTATGTTTAATCTTTGGAATAACCTATGTGGTAAACAGTATCTCCTTTTACAGACGAAGAGAAACTAAGGCGCAAGAAGTGAAAGAGGGCCTTGTTCAGGGTCACACAGCTGGGCAGTTGCAGCACCAGGACTCAAATTGAAGCAGTCTGGCTTCACAGTCTGACCCTCCCTCCTCTTGCCTTTGGAGTCTCTATAACTTTGATGAAATCTGCTAATTCTCTCCTGGGGGGCTTCAGCCCTTTTAGCTTTTCAATTTCACCTTGCCTCTCTTCCCTCCTCCTACAAATCCATATGCTAATGTTACTGTTCCTCCTCACCTGGTGCCACTTCTATCAGGAACCATACAGTTTGGAGGTGACTTAAGAAGAAGCTTCGTGGGGCCTGGGAACACTTTGGGAAATCCCCTGTTGGAGGGGCTGAAGATGGGTCACTCAAAAAGCTCTGGGGTGATGGGGAATTCCCAGGCAGTTCCCCTACCCCCAGCTGCCAAGCTGGGACAGAGACTGAGAGGACAGGCTGGCCTTTCCTATTTGGGCCCACTGCTTTAGCAGGAACTCCCCAGGCATTCCCAACAGGGCTTGGCCCTCTACCCTGCCAGTTCTGGGTTAGTGCCTTGACCTTCTTG